TTTTTTTTTTTTTTTAGATTACATTATGAAAAAAAACCCAGACTATAACAAGCCTCCAAATAGAGCTGATATAATAACTGATGGTCAGGGAAATCTAAAGACATGACATGCATTTTTCTATAAGCCAGTGATTTAAAATGAAGTGGGGGTGGGTTCCGCTTAAGCTGGGAGAGGAAACATTTGAAAAGAGCTGATTCTCCAGACGGATATACCAGAATTATTAGAACATTGGGGTAACTAGCAAGGAAAGAATAAGCAGTGGAAACGGTATTAAGAATAATAATAACCAGCTTGTGTTGAGTGTGAACTCTGTGCCAGGCATCTGGCGTGGCATTGTCTCCTTAGTCATTACATTGGCCCTTCTTCTCCCTGTTAGTACAAAGAGCAAACCCCGATCATCGAAAGGCTAATGGCATGCCCAGGGTGACATTGCTGGGAGTGGCAGGTTTGGGCCTTAAGCTGTACTCTGCCGGATTCTAGGGCCTGAGTTCTGAATTGCTTCCCGGTACCCACTCCTGAAACTTCCCTCCCCAGGCAGATGCTTCTGGCTCTTCTTTCTCTGCTTGCTGCATTTGTGTCCCTTGCGGAATCTGGCCTGGGCACTAGGCAGCAGCGTCTTCTCATGGAGCGTTGCAAGATGGCGGCGTCCTCACTCTCATCTGGCTGGAGCCACAAGGCTGTAGGCACAGGCCTTGTCCCCACCTCTCAGCTTGCACCTTCCCATCAAGCTGATGTTGTCAGTGTTTACTTTGCAAAGTAAGTAGGGTGTTGCTCAGACCACAGGCTCCAGAAGATGAGGTGATTTTTAATCAGCTGCTTTTATGACCATTTCTCTCCCATTGCAGATTCTTGGGCTGTTATTGCAGGGGTTGGTGTGGACATTCATACTCACCATCTGCACCCTGAGAACCCAGAGAATAATTTCCTGGACCATCAGGGTCTCTTTCCCCAAATGGATTGTGTAGAGAAAGGACAGCTAGCGCATTATCCACCCAAATCCATGACTCAAAGCAACATTTTTCAGGCAATCCTGGCCTAGGCTAGACAGATCTTAATTGTTTGCTGGCTTAAAAGATCAAAGCATCTTTTATCATTTGTGGCCATTTTTATTTGCATATGAAGTCTGCCTTGCCTAGAGAGTAACCCTATTCCTCACAGGAGTGTAAGTGATTTATCGTTCATAAATTCTGTCATGGATGCAACTTCACATTTGAAATTCAGAGAGTTGGTGTGACTGGCCCGTGGTTGGTCAGCTCTTAAGTAGACCTGGCCTCCCATCCCAGTGGTAGGATCCATGGTCAGGAGTGTTTGGGGCCCCTGGCGGATTGGGGAAGCATGGGCTTTGGAGCCTACAGATCTGCTTTTATAACCTTCTTGAGTCTCAGTTTATCCATCTGTAGAATCAGGGTTCACAAGTCCACCCTGATGGCTTGCTGTGGGCATTACATGAGGACAAGTACATGGCATGGCCATGGCTGAATAAACCCTCATTCCCCTGCCCCCTTTATACCCCAACCTCACAAAATCTGGAGGTCCGCTCTGTATCCAAGGCTAAAGTTTTACCTCTGTGGCTTAATTATATTTTTCATCCTTCTTCCCCCACCCCATTCAGTTAGCAACACTGATTTTGCTCTTTTCTCCTAGGAAATGGAGAACAAGGGAGACCTTACCCCATGACCGACGCTGAGCGAGTGGATCAGGCGTACCGAGAAAATGGATTTAACATTTACGTCAGTGATAAAATCTCCCTGAATCGCTCTCTCCCTGATATTCGGCACCCAAAGTGAGTGTAACGTCTCTCATCTTCTGGGATCTAAGGATTTTGCCCATGGCTCTTGATGAGAATTAATTAAAGAAACAGGTACATAAAGCTCTGCTGGAGGAAATTCCCTCCTTGGTAGCCCGGGCCTTGGCGCAGAGGTTTGTGTGATCCAAGTCTCCTAGATTTAGCGGTCGTGTGGCAGAGGGATGAAAGACAGCCAGTCTCCTTCCCCTTTGCAGGCAGTGGGACCCATGTATCCTCTGCATTTCCCCTCTTTGGCCCACGGGGAAGTTCAAAACTCAAGTTCAGACCATTGCAACTACAGCTTCAACCCTTGTGCTCTCCGTGAGGAGATACATTTTTATTTCCTTTTCTTAAACAGGGGACTTTGTTTTAGCTGCTGTGTGCACGTGGTATTTGTGTCTTTTTTTTATAAGCTACCTCAAGTCATTTTGAGACAGGACACATTGTAACGATGATAAAGAGATAATAATGGCAACTAACATCCATTGAACGGGTATCATGTGCAGGCACTTCGTTTGCTTTAAATGTCGTAAGTCCTGTAAGGCCACAGGTGGCCAAGAAGCTGAGCCAGGTGTCTAGCTCAACCAAAAACTAGACTCTGGACCTGAGGCTGTCCTGCCTCCCTAGGTGCCTTCAGTAGAGCTGTTGTGGTCGTGGTGATTTTCTGCTAGAGCGGTAGTGCCTAGAGTTGGTGTGCAGTACAATCACCTGGAAGGATGTTAGAGCCCAGGATTTTGAGCCTCACCCCCATAAATCCTGATTCAATAGATGTGGGTCAGGACCCAAGAACTTGCATTATGAACAAGCCCCCATGTGATGCTGGTGCAGCTTATCTTGGGTCCACACTACCACCAAAGGTAGAATGGGAGTCTAGAATGGGAATTCAGGTGGGAATTCTACAGGAAGGCGGTATTGAGTGGCACCAAAGCATAAAATGTGCTGCCCAGGAATTAAGAAAGTAGAGCCCAGGAAAAGATCATAGCAGCTGACATTTACTAGGTGCTTACTGCATGCCAGGCATCATTCTTAGCCAGTGGTTCTCAGAGTGTGGTTCCCGGACCAGCACCGTCATGGGCACCTAGGAGCTTATGAAACACGCGGATTCACGGTTTCAGCCTAGATCTACTGCAGCAAAAGCTCTTGGGAGGCACCCAGCAATCCATGTTTTAACAAGCCCTCCAGGTGATTCTGTTGCAAAGCTTAAGTTTTAGAAGATATTCTAGGTGCGTTAAGCGCTTACCTCACTCGGCCAAACCTTCCAAAAACCAATGACGTATGTACCTTTATTATCATCATTTTACAGGTAAGGAATTGAGGCACACAAAGGTTAGGTAATTTGCATACGATGACACAGCTGATTAGTGGAGCTGGAACTTGAAAGCAGGGAGTCTGACATAGCATCTGTAATCCATAAGATCTTTGCACCTGTAAGAACACAGTTAGTAGAAAGCAGTACAGGCACACCTCAGAGATACTGCCGGCTGTGCTCCAGACCACCGCAATAAAGTGAGTCAAATGAATTTTTTGGTTTCCTCATGCATACAAAAGTTGTGTTTACACTAAACTGTTTTCTGTTAAGTGTGCAATAGCATTGTGTCTAAAATCCAATGTACACACCTTAATTAAAAATATTGCTAAAAAGTGGGGCGCTTGGTTGGCTCAGTTGGATAGGTGTCTGACTTCGGCTCGGGTCATGATCTCGCGGGTTCATGGGTTCGAGCGCCGTGTTGGGCTCTGTGCTGACGGCTTGGAGCCTGGATCCTGCTTCCGATTCTGTGTCTCCCTCTCTCTCTCTCTCTATCTGCCCCTCTCCCGCTGGTACTCTGTCTCTCTCTCTCAAAAATAAGTAAACATTAAAAAATATATATTGCTAAAGATGCTACCCATCATCTCGGCTTTCAGTGGCAGAGGGTCTGGCCTCAATGTGGATGGCTGCTGACAGATCAGGGTGGTGGTTACCGAAGACCGGGGTGGCTGTGGCAATTTCCTAAAAGAAAACAATAAAGTTTGCTGCATTGATGAACTCTTCCTTGAAAGAAAGTATTATTCAGTAGCATGTGATGCTGTTCGATAGCATTTACCCACAAGAGAACTTCTTTTAAAACCAGAATCAGTCCTCACAAACCTCACCTCACTGCTTTATCGACTCCCGTTTATGTAATGTTCCAAATCCTTTGTTGTCATTTCAACAGTCTTCACGGCATCTTCACCAGGAGTAGATTCCATCTCAACAAACCATTGTCTTTGCTCATCCATAGGAAGCAAGTCCTCATCCATTTTGGTTTTATCATGGGACTGCAGCAATTCAGATATAATAACAAAAATGAAAACGTTTGAAATATTGTGAGAATTACCAGTATGTGGCCCACACACGAAGTGACCAAATACTGTTGGGAAAATGGCACCAACAGACTTGCTCAACACAGGGTCGCCACAGGCCTTCAATTTGTAAAAAACACAGTATCTACAGAACACAGTAAAGTGAAGTGACCTAAACTGAAGCAAGCCTGTAAGAAAGAATTAATCTTGGTGGCATGTTTGGGCTACTTACGAAATGCTTTCTGCCCTATTCCTATCTTTCAGTTCCCGCAGCTGTGCTGTGAGATTGGCCTTATTATCATCTCTGCTTTGTAGATGAGGAAACCACACTAAAGGGGTGCTGTTTATCCAGGATGGGCCCCATTCATGGGACTTCTTGCTGTGAGGGCAGGGAGTGTGGGGCCTCGGAGCTCGGAGCGCTTGTCCGTGGCGTTTGCAATTTGTTTCGTGGTCTTTACTGTCAAGCCCAAGATTTTTCATCTAAGTCTGAGAATGTAGTTCAGATATCACTGATGTTGCTGGATACAGAGCTGTGACCTAACTCCGAGGGTCAGAAACTCAATTTATGTGTTTAGCCCCTTGCAGAGTTCAGAATTCTGCACTAATTTCATCTTGCTGGCTCTACGAAAGAAGTTCATCTGGGAACATTACACCCTCACCTCAGCCGCTGTTCTGTGGCTCTGTGGGCCCTCAACTCTGGCTGTTTCTGGAGTGGTTTTAAAGACGTACAAGGGCCACGGTCCCACCCCAGACCACTGGAGTCTGAATCTCTGGGGGGTGGGGGTGGGGGTCCATCTTGGGTCTCAGTATTTTCTGAAGCCTTGGGAAGCAATTCTCACTTACATAACCAGGGCTGAGAAGTACTGGTGTCAATCAAGGAATATTTTTATAACGAGAGGGAGAAGCTAGGTGTGGACACAGCTTTCATCTGTCCATTCATCTGTTGAGTCACTAAATATATATGAATGGGCTACATGCCAAGCCCTGTGCTTGACATCAGGAACACAACAGTAAATCAGCCATGATTGTTGCCTCGTGCAAGAGGTGGGGACAGATGGGCTAAGCAGGTCATTACACCACAGATGAGAAGATCGGCAATAAGGGTAGACTCCGGGTGCTTTGGAACTCCCAAGGACACCCCCACCCAGCACCGGCCTTTGTGGGAAGACACTGCAGGTAGAAAAGTAGGCAAGAAGTGCACAGCCTTGGGCTTAAAAGTTCGAGTCTCTCAGCTGGATAGAGGCCCCCAGGTTGAGGCCTGGCCCCCATGTCTCCAGTGCACAACTCTTTCCCAACAGTTCAGAAAAAAGAAAGCTCTTCTTAATTTTGGAGTCCCGGGGCCCACAGACAAGTCTGTGGATAGAATTCAGGAGCCTCTAAAAATCTGGATGTGGGGGCGCCTGGGTGGCGCAGTCGGTTAAGCGTCCGACTTCAGCCAGGTCACGATCTCGCGGTCCGGGAGTTCGAGCCCCGCGTCAGGCTCTGGGCTGATGGCTCAGAGCCTGGAGCCTGTTTCCGATTCTGTGTCTCCCTTTCTCTCTGCCCCTCCCCCGTTCATGCTCTGTCTCTCTCTGTCCCAAAAATAAATAAACGTTGAAAAAAACAAAACAAAACAAAAAAATCTGGATGTGGAAAACACTGTGTTTTTCTTTTCACTAACCTCTAACTGAAGCATGGTGTTCCTTTCTGTTACGACTGTAGGCAACAAAGCACCTGTGAATTTGTCCCCAAAAGAAATCATTTACTTTTACATCACTTTATAGATATCTAGAAATGTAATGAATGCTCATCACTACTTTGAAGTGAAGGTAGTTTTTAGAACAGCCACTAGATCGTGTTGATTAATGTGTTAATAAGGAAACACTTTTATTACTATATTTCAGATTTTTAAATTATTTTGATAACTGTATCCCAGTCCAGTTGATTTCCTTTATAACCTGCTTTATTTTATGCATTATACAAGCTGCTCTGAGAAGTGACCATAGGCTTCACCAGCTTGGCAGAGGGGTCCAGGGCATCAGAGAGGTGAGGAAGCACTGTTCTAGGTGGGTGTGAATTGAGCCATAAGGACGCCTCAGGCTCCTCTGTTCCCAGCCACCCCACCAGCATATAAGTCACCATGAAGGATGTCACTAAATCCAGTTCTCCTGACACTCCCCGCCCCTCTCCTGACCCCCTGGCTTTTCAGAATCCCTAGCTATGGAAGCGGACATTCCAGAAATGAGTTGACAGATGTCTTGAAGAGCTATTCCTTTTCTTCCTGGGCTGGGGAGGGGAGAGGGCAGGGGGTGGATCTTTCCTGCAGACCTCGGAAATGTGTGAGATTAGAGCAGTGGAGACACTCCCTCCCTCTGGTTTCTTTGAGCTGAAACAGCTCCATCAGGAGCTGAGGTAATGTTTGCCTTTTACTTCTTCCAACTGAATTTTGGCAACATCACATCAAGAACAGGATTGAGGGGCTGTTTGTGCCAGCTGCATTTGCTTCCACCAGAAGCTGCACCAAGGACCATGGAGACCCAGAGAAGGGAAAGAGGGCAGTCTGACCCGACTTGCTGGGGCTTGTAAATGGGAGGTGGCCAGCTGGCTCAGCGGGCCTGCCCTCTGCACCCCCTGCCGAGGAAGCAGGAACAGAGGATGGCTGGTGCGCTGGCCCGCTTCCCCTGCTCCCTGGGAGGCGG